GTTCCAGATTGCAAAGATATCATGAGAATTATTGGAATAAGTGCTGATCGAGAATATCACAAGTTTAAATACAGTAATTAGTAAGTTACAAAACTGTTATTCTTATCTGAATGTGACAAGGACAGTGAAATTGAGATAAATAAACATATAGTTGTAACCTTAAGTGACAAACAACTTAATGATAATGAAATAAGTGTACTATCTCTTGGAAATAATTTTGTTCCTACCCCAAAACAAGGACTCTACATTGACATTATTGTTTCCGCTCATAAAGTCACTAATACATTAGTTTCACAACTGCTAATGAATTGTGCTTCCAAGTTCGAGAAACCCTAACTAAAGATAAGCACCAAGCTATCAGTAATTTAAAGAATGACAGAGACACTGTTATACTACCTGCCTATAAGGGAAATGTTACAGTCCTCTTAAACCAACATTACTATGAGAAAAAGATAGAAGTGTTGACGGACGCAATTTACCAAAAACTATCTTTTGAGCCAACCCAATGTATAAAAAAAGGCTAACTAAAGAACTTTGGAACATGACAAATAAAAGAGGAAATAATCATGACACTGTACCAGTCACTCTTCCCACAGCTTTATGGTTTGCCCAAGATACATTAAACCTAACGTACCCGTGCGACCTATTGTATCTTACATAGGTTAGCCAACTTACAAAACAAACAAATTTATTTCTAGCGTGCTAAAACCTCTAACAATAGATCCGGCTTATTCAATTAGAAACTCAAAAGAATTCGTTAACCACATTTCTGACCAAATAACATCCAAAGACGATATTATGGCTAGCCTCGACGTAGTTTAACTTTTCACCAAAATACCTGCTAAATATGCCATGAAAATAATACACAAGCAATTAAGTGACGACATCTCACTTCCAACAAGAACGTCCATCTGCATCCCAAACATCATGATCTTGCTGGACATCTATCTCGATGCAAATTACTTCTACTGGAATAGCCGAATTTACAATATATTAGACGATACTCCAATGGGTTCACCATTATCACCTGTAGAAGCAGAAATATTCATTTAACATTTTGAACACACCATTTTAACACCATGTCTTCATCAACCTCGTATATGGGTAAGACATGTTGACGATACGTTTATTTATGGAGCCATGGAGAAGTAGAGCTCAAAACCTTTCATGCTCATCTGAACAGCAAATTTTACAGCATACAATTTTCCATAGAACTTGAAGTTGATAACACTCTTCCATTCGTCGAAGTTCTGGTTCACAAGGACACTAGTTTGGAGAAGTTGGCCACTACCGTCTATCGGTAGAAGACTCAAACAAATAAATATCTGAATTTTTGCTCTTCCCGTACAATAGCTGTCAAAACTGGGATTATTAAAACACTAAAATCTAGAGCTACAAGTATATGTTCCTCGTTTTACCTAGAAGAAGAACTTAAACATCTTGAGAAAATTTTCAGGAATAACGGTTATTCAAATAAGATGATTCAACGTGTGTTACATGGTTCATCTGCCTCGGCTATTAATCAACCACAACTTGAAAATCACAACGAAAAGAAAAATTAATTTCTTCCTTATATAACAAGCCTATGAGAAAACCTTCATAGATTAATGAATAACTTAACATCAACGTAGTTTCCTTGAGTCCTCCTACACTACGCGACAGTCTTACAAAGGTAAAATCTTCCCAGTCCTCTGACAAACGAACGTGGTATATAGCACTCTTGTAACTGTAATAAACAACACATTGGGGGAACACAACACCCGTTACAGGCCAGGTTCAAAGAACTCCAAATAGCTATTAAGAACTGTAGTAAAAAAAACACATCAGCTATAGCTTTTCACGTTCAGAAAAACGACCATATAATAGTCTTAAACATGATAAAATAATAGACAGAGAAAAAACACCAAACGTAGAAAAATCAAGGAAGCTATTGCCATCCAAGCACAAGACAGTGGACCACCAGTGGTTATTAATCAAAACAACGGCCAACAATTACCCAGTACTGCATGGACATCAGCAATAAAAGACATAAAGCACATTACTTGTCGTGGTTTCGATGTAAAATTAAACCTTTAACTTTACAACGTATTATTTGAAGTCGAAAAATTCCTTTATTTTTTATTTCTTCATATATAAAACCTATAACTGTATTTTCCTTATGTTTATGATATCGAAGCAGTCGATTTATATTCTATATTTATCATAATTCTATATGTTTAATAACTTTAATACCAAATGTCACTTATTGTTAAGATTGTTTTAAATCATTGTTCTATAGTTTAACGAATTTTTGCCCAATGAGGGCTCCGGTAAAATAAAAGCATTTTAATGTAGACAAAAGTTCGTGTATAATTCTACAAATAATGTAGATATTTAAAGTGTCGGCGCATGCTGTAAAATATATTTTTCCTTTTTTTTAACCTATCAGTCCCACTTTGCAGTGTATACTGAGGCACATTAGAAACCTATGTGGCCCGATATTTTGAATATTAACTGATGCAGAAAGAAAAGCACTCTTAAATACCCCAATCAAATCATTGTACATTTAACCTTATAAGTTTCTGTTCATTTCTGCTCTCTAAACTGACAGTAAATGTACAACAATTTCGAACTTTCCAAATGAAGATACGAATTAAAAAGCTTCAACAAAGTGCAAATTTATTGTGGAATGGAAGGATCTACTTTTGCTCTTAAGACTTTTATTAAAACAGGTGCATTGTTGTGGTAATGCCATAAAAGTTTTTCGAATTCAAAACTACCAAAATTTCTAATGATGTTAGTAATGTAATTTACACGTTCAAATAAAGTTATAAAACTAACTATAATATGAAGTGGAAATGCAAAACAAAAAATTATTCAAAGATCTATATGAGAGAAAATGTGGTAAACGTTTCAACTGAGTGACCTTCTTCTGGTTCTGATTAAAGTTGTTTAGCCGAAACGTTGACCACATTTTCTCTACCCAAAAGGTTTTTAAAACTAATTTGCAATCTCACAATTTGAACACATTGTTAAGATATTTGTTTGTTTCCACAATATGACTACATTATATTTTTCATGCACACTCTTAATTCAATTTACATTTGTTTACGCCGCAACTCAGAATACACTGCTTACAAAAAACAGTGATGTTTTCACATTTTTTAGTTTACTTTAAGTTCAGTATTTGTACACATTATTACATAAACCATTAAATAACTACTTCTGAATGCATAATACTGGTATAAAAAGTTTAGAGTAAGTAGGTATTTTAAGACAAAAAATTTTCAGAGATCTTCACATATGTATGTGTCAATGTTGTTAAAAAGTCTGTATTTAGAGACATCTCTCACTGAAAATCTTGGTTTTACTCTAGATATGAACTGCAACAATTGAATATTGATATTCTATTCACCATGGTCTTGAAAGAATTATTATTATCATAATCTAATTCTATTCTTCTAAAGAAAAGATTAAGAAAGCAGACATGTCCACCAGATAGATCCAGTTCTTCAATATATATGCTACTATTAACAGATGGATCGTGACGTTTATCTGAACAAAAGACACGTGCTACTTAGAATGTAAGCCAGACACATTGCTAAAACAGTAGATGTTTTCTATTGACTACAGTTTTAAAATTTAGACAGGAACTGTTTTTATTAATATTAGGCAATGGAAATATCGTTAAAGGTTTTCCAAAGATTTCTTCTGGCTGTTGTTTACTCACTGATATAAACTTTTAGCAAACTTGTATTTTCATTCTTCAAAACACGAAAAATATCAGGGTTCTTCGTTAAAACTCTATCAGTAACGATTAAACACTAGATAAATCAAGTCTGAAAAGATACTATTAATACAAGAGTCAGGTTTAAAACCTCTCTCTACAATAAAATCATCGTCGGTCAGCCGAGGTGGACGAAGAGTGAAACTATATACTCATGAGGTGCCACTCAGGTCAATCACGTGTTTCATACAATCACTAACAGAAGAACCTGTGGATTTTGGAAAATGAATGAACAATCTCGGTTAAACCAACAAATAGTATAGAATAATTGATGTCGCTATGAAATTAATACACTAGCTACGCTGGCAGTTCAAAACAACTCATACCGATGTATATGATACAGAAACAATGTATAATTAATACTTGGTTTCAACTGGAATTCAATATCAGTTAAAGGTTTAATAAAATAAGAGTTGAAAATAAAATAACTTAACCTTGAGCTAAACTTATTGGAAATTCTAGATTTGAAAATGAGTGTAAACTGTTGTTAAGGTTCAATTTAAAATAATTCTTAGGAGAGTTAAAAACTTTAATGCGTTATGGTAACATTTCAATGATAGTGTGGGCTAGACAAGGGACATAAAGCATTTAATGATTAACATTCAGTAATTTACCGTTATCCTCGCTGTTAACCCAATTATGTACACCAGAGGAGTTTAGACCATCTTAGCTGATTTAAACTAAGCTTTAATCGACGTACTAAACATAAAAACAATATCATAATTAGCATTTACATGTCGTTAAAATTAAAATACAAAAAGGTTAACGTAACATATTTGTGGTAATTAGCTAAACTAATAGATGTGAAAATAAATATGTATATTGAGGGATCGTATGTTTAAGAAATTACCAAGTTAATAATTTTCTAACAATTTTAGTTGAATTATTTTGATGCACATGACTGTTGCTTGTGGGATTATTGTACACTTTACATCATTTTTCAGATTTTCAAAATAAAGCGTAAAATTCAAATAAAGACTCAAAGGATTTCTGCAAGCTGAATTCATTTTATTTTTCGAAATTGTATTAATATTTTAGTTCTACAATTCTCCTTTGGAAGTATCTTTTCTTAGTTTTTAATATTAACGTTACTTCTAGTGACTCAAATACATATCCATATGGCTCGCTTAAAACTTTTGTTTTGATCAATAAATATGTAAAACTATAATCAGAAAATAAGAAAATCACAAATTAATTCCTTGTGAAGATCGTTACTGAAAACAAAATGACTCACCATGATAGTTGTTCGATACGTGACTTATGTCTGTTTGAAATTCTGAAGAAGATTGATTGTGAAGTACTTGGAACCCTTCTTGTGAGCAGGACCTGAGAGACCCTATTGATGGCCGGTTGAATGCCCCAGAATGAAAAATTCCATGAATTTTAGATATGGAACTACAACGCTCTATAGTAGGGCTAGATTGCATGAGGGATGGGGAATCGTGTAATGGTTCTACTGAAGAGAGAGCAGTGTCAGATAAAGTAGGATTAATTCCTGTGAATGTGTCCGAGTCGTCAGTAATGACCACAGCAGGAGGTGAACGTAGCTTTGTTACTGACCTTAAAGACTGAATCCTAGGTCGAGTGTGAACAGATTCTTCTCCAATCACCATGGTTGAGTTTTGTTATTTTTCACTCACCGTCACAAAAAAATCCTTTAAAAACATTAAAATCTGTTTCATCTGATCCTTACCTCCTTGGATGTAGAAGTTTATATATGTTTCCTTGTATTGCTCTGGACAACAGAAAATATTTTACAAATTAGAAGCACGAAAATTTTAAAAAATAACTTGTAAGATAAAATATTTGCTTTTGCAAAATTTTCAAAATTATGTCCTTCCTTTTCTGAAACAACATCTTTCAAATATATGATATTATTCCACTAAAAACAAACATCGTTTTTTTCTTTATTCTTACATTTAACAACCTTCTAGATGTTTAAAATATCAAATTTTGTCAAAATTCAATGTAAAAAATGGTGATTCATCTAATTTACAGGTGTAACAAATAGCTAAAAATATTATATCTTTGAGTTATTATCTGTTCAGTGCTGTGCATTATTTGAACGAATTTCCATTTGATTTGGAAAACAACAGTTTCGAAATTTAGGTTTACGCAAGAACTGACATTGCTTTTCAAACTCACTGAAGAAATTGCCCAAAAACATTCTGTCATAAGTATTTGTAAACTTGAAGTATATAAAAAATAATAGCGAAAAATTATCAAATATGCGTGAAAATACATAGATTTAATTTTCAAAATAAAAAAATGTACGGCTTAATGATGAACTTACAGTTATTTTTAGTGAAGAAGGAGAAAATTATGAGAAAACAATAATATTACGACATTCTATATAAAGTGATATTGTTGTATATATCTGATGAAACTTAGATAGGCTACGGCATTCACGAGCTGTTACCATCGACAATAGATCAATTATATTGTAATACATAATTGTTTCTTATGAATCATTTGCCACACTAATGGTAGTTCAGCCATATTTAGTAGACACGTTCTAAATATTAAGGTAAAGTTCAGCATTTCCAGAAAAAAATATGCTTAAAAGCGCATAAATTTACATATTTAAATTTTAAATATTTTGTATATTTTATAATTAATACTTTGTTATACTGTTCTTAAAACATTTGATTGCCAAAAGTTAAAAGCGTACTATATATACACTAGTACAGCTGTAATTATATACTTTAGAACTATTCGTTCGAAAAATGTCATACAGTATTTTAACTTATCCTGAACATTATGCTTATTTACTGGCTTAATGAAAGCCTCATAATATCATTTTATAATAATATATTACAACTGTTTCAATATATACATATTAATTCACATTTGCATATAAGACAATCAGATGTTTTTTGTCATATAACAACATACAGAGATAAAAATATATGGTAGTATTCCTTAACGTTCAAATCATGGAGCACATTTTAATGTTTAACCTTTTATGTAGTAAAACTGTTATAGGCTGTAATAGCTCTTGGTTATATTTTACAGGAAGTGTCAGATCGTTTGTTAGGCACAAAATCACTTTAAGAAATGTAAGTCAGTTTTAGATCAGAGCTTTTATTTCATTGTAAGCTATAATTGTTCCCGCTAGTAAGTGGCCTCGTAAAATCCATGAGTACTAATGCCATAAAATTATAAAGTAAAAAATACATTAGTTTTGGCTAAGTATTGCACAACTGATTGGATTTATACGTGTAAAATATATTATATTTATAGGTTTTGCTTTCTTGAGAATATTCTTTACCTTTTGTTTGTGTAAGGTGTTAATTTGTTTGAATAGCACTTTGAGAACCATATATATTTCTAAGTCTCTTGTCCTTCCAAATGATGCGCTCGATATCTTCATTCACTAACCCGTGTTGTAACTATAGAAAGGTAGAACATATATTATCGTTGGATCCTCTGTACGTATTGAATGCTACGTAAAACACGTTAGAGAAGCGCTTGAGAAAGATCAAATTAAGTTCAATGTTTCTCTACTACAGAGGAGGAGTGCTGCCTCAATTAAGCACGTCGGCTATTCAATGAGCACATATGAGCTTCTCCTCTACCAGCTTTACTTTTCCTTGCAGCATTACACAAGCTTTCCCGACTGTGGCAACAACGAGCTGCATCTGTTGAGGTACATGCGCATGCGCCAATGATAATGATTTTTCTTTATGATAAAACGTTATTTTGGATGTAAAATACAACACACAATTGGTTGTTTAAAATTACACCAAAAGTATTTCAAAATAAGCAGGCCTTCTATTCAAATTTCAAACTATCTTACAGTGTATCTGTTATTTTTACCTTATAAAGCAACGATTTTATTACTTTTATAGTCGCTTCTACACAAACATTTTTAAAGATTTCCCACACAACAAAAGTGCAGATGTCCTAGTTGTTGTTTGAATGATAAGCATATAGTTATAATGATGTCTCACTTTCTATTAAGTTGGAATTTTGAGACTTACAAACAAATTTTATTTTAACTATGGCACTTTACTTCACTATTATTGATAATATAATTGGACTTGCACTTTGCAATGTAAGTTTACTACAAGACGAGAGATGAGTACACTGGAATGGGAGGCAACTGCCTGTTGTAGAAATAACACAAGTATAGAGGACGATTTTCTAAACGTCGTCCTCTACACTTGCGTTTTTTCTACAACAGACAGTTGCCGCCCATTTCGGTATACTCATCGTGAATATTCTGACTAAAAAATCCATCAAAGAATACGAGAGATATATAACACGCGTCTTTTTTATATTATCAACCTTCTACGATGGCTCAAGAGTAATCTTGAAATTTTATAACGCTAAAATTCGGGATTTTATACTTATGACAAACACAGTGCACATAACCCATTGTGTAAATCTGCGCTTAAAACAAAAAAACAACAACAAATATATTATTGCCATTAGGCCTATGTTGAAAGACAAAAAAGTATTTATACTAATACTATGTTTAAAACCACAGAAACTGAAGATTTTTTTTTCACATTCTTCTTAATTTATCCATTCGGGTTCAAAATCAAAGACATATCCAATCTATATTTTGTCTTCTACTACTCACTGCCCAAAACGCCTTTCGTTATTACCAAAATACTTCAGTTGGATTGTACGGTAAGAAACAGAAGAGTCTCAGAAATGATATTTATATAAATATGTATATATGCAGCACAATACTTTAAAAGTTACGATTAAGGAACTTAGAAAAAACATGTACAGTTTATATGATTTTTATTACACATTTCAGGCCTATTGGTTTCTAATGCTTCGCCATCTTCTAGTATTATGCTGCATATATGAATAGCGTTATAGAGGACCTTATGTCTCTTATCGTCTAAGTGTCGCACCCAAGTGGCACAGCGTTATTGTTTGCGGACTTACAGCGCTAGAAATCGAGTTTCGATACTCGTGGTGGGCAGAGCACAGACAGTCCTTTGTGTAGCTTGGTGCTTAACTACAAACAAACAAACAAATGTCTAAGTGTCTTGTCAACCGTATCAAGAACGTTGGTTTGTTTGCACTGTCAACCTACCCGTTGCAAACTTTCAAACAAGAACACCAAAGATATCTTTCAACACTAGATGGCGCAAAACTTTTGATTCGCCAAGCCATCGTCCGCCATATTGGCTTAGCGTACACTGCCTTGAAACTTAACTTAAACAAGATGAAATACATAAAACTTGAAAAGTAGAATTATAAGTTAATTTCTGTCCTAATGTGATTATAATTATTTTGTCCTATAACTGATTTTGAGTGAAGTTCCTTTCAACTCATCGTTTTCTGTTAATTACATGATTGCATTTTGACCAAGGGTGTTGAAGCTCATTGATTTTGACCTGTGCCATAATATACTGGATGGAATTAATGATCCAGTCAATGATTCAAAGATATATTATTCTTATTTCTTACTACTAAAATAACAACATACATGATTTACAATATATTTATTTGTATATATTTGAGTACAGTTATTTGTTGTGATAAAGTCGATAGGCCATGATTCATATAATAGTTTCGAGAATGGGAAAAAAAGGTTATTTCAAACATAGAGATTCAATGATTCAGATATTGCTTGTGTGTTCTTATGGTAACAAAGATGTTTTAGAATACATTTATTTACACATATATGTCAACACAGCTATTTGTGAAAGCGCTTAAAAGCATTTTTGTGAGTTTTCTTGTGAATATGATAAATTTTGAGGATCCTGTCACTCAATATTAAATTGTGTACCTGGAGAACAACAAACGATTTATATTTATTATTTTAGACAGAGTTATTGATTTGAAACAAAAATACTCGAAATACGCAAAATGTTTCAGAGATCACATCTTTTATTCATAAACAAACACATTAGCGTCGAAGGTGAAACAACCAAAAGAATGTTCGAAAAGACACCTGTTACTAGTGTGTGAAATTCCGGGTAGAAAAGGACAGAAAACTCCTAAAAAATACAGTGTAGTCTAACCAGTGTGTGGCCCTTGTAAAGCAGAAGAGAATAAAATTCCCAAAAGAAGTCCATTTAATATATAAGGTGTCAGACTTGTGATTGTAAAATACTGTGTGATCCAAGTTTAATATCTGTCTCTACTTGCCAAGCTTTGTTAACACACAATCTCATTTTCAGAGCTAAGAAATTAAAAGTAATTGTGGTTGTTTTTGTTCACCGTTGTTTTATTATTATATAGTTTAATATTTCATTCTTTAAACCTATAATCTAGAATAAATTCGAATCCCGAAATTGATCATGCTCGTCCTTTTAGCCGTGGGAACGTTATAATGTGATGGTCAACCTCACTTGTTAAAGAGTAGCCCAAGAGTTGGCGGCGGGTGGTGTTGACTATCTGCTTTCCTTCTAGTCTATCACTTCTAAATTAAGGGCGGCTAAGTGTAAATAGCTCTCGAGTAGCTTTGTATGAAATTCGACAAACATCCATGACTTTAATGTATGCACGTATTAAAGTTTAAATATTTCTCAAAATCTGTCACAGATTATTTTGGTTAAAAGCTTTCTTGTTAATTTTTTTCCATGATTAACGCGAAAAGCGTTTGTATTGTTCGTAGAACCGTAGGCAGCACAAGTTGGAATTTTGCTAGAATGAAAAGTACACAGTGAGATTGGTCGATATTAATGTTTTGATCGTACCAAAATGGCGGAATGCAGACGTCACTAGCTTCAGCGAATCAAACAGATTACAGCGCCAACA